TGAGAAAGGCACCCTGGCAGGGCAAGTCCTCAGAAATCCAAGAAGATGTACTTTTATTCCCCAAGTCCAGGAGCTTGTTCACTGGTTGGGCAGAAAAAGAGGAGATTCCACCTTAGGAGAGCCTGGATGGGAGGTGTGTGATGGGAATGTCCACATGTACAGGTATATTTCTAGATATTTCATACAAATGGGATCGTGTTAATTTTTAGATTGCTGTGAAAGAAGACATATTCAATGCTATCTTGCTATTATTCAAAAACACAGTGCATCTTCAGCAAAGAAAATTTGCCCCACAGGTGCTATCCTCACGGACTATAAGTACTGTGTTTTTAAAAGGCTTTCTTTACATTTTTTTTTTTTACCATCATGCTGCTTTTTCTTTTTTCAGAAATATGCATTCTGATTAAAATTGTTGATGTAATTTAATAATACATCTTTCTGAAAGTTATACAATTATCTTTTTGACACATATACTCTGGGCCTATCAGAGGTTATTCATTGAGAAGACCAAGAACATTCGCTACTGAATATATTCATGCTGTTGTTTCTGAGGAGTAAACTCTTGAAGCTCTGGAATTAATTTTCTTAGATCTTGGAGGAATTCCTAAGAGGTAGTGAAACTTTTCTTTGCTAACCCTCCATTTATTTAAGAACCCTCCCATCTCTCTTTTTTGTGACAATGGCCTGTAGATACATGGTTGGCATCATTAGCTGCTGAGTGGAAAATGAGCCATGACAGGAAATGAGAACATAAGTGTGAGTATAGAATTTTGGAAATGAAATGGCTCTAGACCTGAGGAAATAACATGATATTATTGGGTATAGACAGCACTTTCTAGAAGGACACTGAGAAGAAGAATCTAAAGTTTGGGTAAAGTAGGAGAGCTCAGTTATGGCTTTTATAGTTTAACCGGCTTTTGAAGGGTCAGGGTCACAGCAGAGTAAAAGCCAGTTTGCCATTGACCCCAGACCCTGGAACCAGGACTGAGGGAAGACTCTCAGCAGTGACACGGCTAACCTGGGGGAGCAGCCACCTTGAGATGAGAGCAGAAGGAGGCTCCCTGTGCAGTGTGGGGACAGAGGGGGAGGTGCAGGTGCTGTTCCCTGAGTCTGGTCCTCACTTGAAGAGGGACAGACGGAGGAGAGGTGCCGAGGTGATGGTGATCAGTGGCCTCTAGTGTGGCTTCTTGAACTACTACTGTTCTCCCTTTTTTTTCCTCTGGGCTTTGGAGGCCAACATGAGGATGTTTATCTGCTTTCTGTCTCTCCTGAGGCTGCCTGATTCTCCTATCAATGCCTCCTTGATGGGCATGGATGTGTTTTGGCATGGAATTGATCTGTGAAAGGAATATCACAAAGGTCAGGGATCCCATGATGGAATTTTTTGAGACAGAGACTCTCTTGTCTGTGTCCCAGCTCAGCTCTCAGTTTTCACAAGA